CTGATAAGGAAAGCGCGGAGAACATGTTGTGGAAGCTGCTTTTCTGCGTTTTGCCACTGGCTTTGGCTACATGTCCTTTCGGCTATGTTTATCAGCAGCAAACCAACAGGTACGTGCACGCTTTCGATGGTAACAACGATGATTAGAAGAGAAATTTGAAATTGAATTAGTTGAGCTGGTGATGGATACGAAAGAGGTAATATGCGCCTTCCTGATAGACGTGAATTTTTCATTTATTGCCCTTACTGTGGCAGATGTTAAAAAGGACGTACTGTTCTAACAGTTTTTCTTCTTTATAAAAGTGAACTAGTTGAAAATTAATCTCTATTGATATCTACCTAGATGCTACAAATTTGTCACTGCCAAGCAAGCTTTCTATATGGCTGAAGAAAGCTGTCAGGAGACGAACAGTCACTTAGTATCCATTTACAGCTCCGTGGAGAACACTTGGCTGTCTCGTGGGTTACTACATCGATGATGGTCTTTTGATTGTTTTATTTAAATCTTTGCAAATCTAGAGTATGCTGTGCAACAAGGAATCAAGGGACCCTTCTATACGGGATTAAATCGCCTCATGAATAGTCAGTGGTCATGGACAGATGGGAACTCGGTTAATTACACGCGTTGGGCTCCAGGTTCGTTGCAAAACATCTTCTAGCAGATAACCGGGAGACTAAAGCCAATTTTAAAATGCATACGGTATGTACGATAAGATGCGTAATCGCATGAAAATATTCGAATGCAGACTCTTCCTTGCTAATTCACTATACCATGTTACGCGCGCGGATAAAAACATCAATATGTAAAATAATAGAATTCTTCGGACACTTCAACCTAAAGCAGCAATCAGTTTTTTCATTGCAGGTGAGCCCAACGTAAATGCACAGTGTGCAGGGCAAAACTCCACAGATGGGAACTGGATTACAGTATCTTGCTCGGCTTCCTATCCCTATGTATGCGTTCAAGGTTCTACTGAACCTCCTGTGTCTACGTGTCCACCAGCGCCGACTGTATCTGCTTGTCCCACTGCACCACGTAATGTTTTGCTAAG